CAGAAAAATTGAAGTATTTTTAGAGAGTAACAAACAACAACAAACTACCACGAAATAAAAAAAAATAAAAAAATCATGTTTTTTTACGACCGTTTCCGATGTCTTGAAATAACAGGTTGCCAATAGATTTCGGTTTTAAAAGTCCTCGAAAAATAAAAACAAATTAGTCTCACCTCAACTTGTTCACTGAGGCGGGGAAAAATTAACGGATAAGATTTTTTTAAAAAAAAGGGGGGACATTTCCTGGGTGTCAGTTTCAAAATGAAATCAAAATTGATGAGATCAGCTTCAAAACTCAGCGAAACAATCAAGTTTCTTCAGTAAACAGTTTGATCAGATACAAAAACATAAAATGAAAAAGACTAGAACATTTTTGATTCGCCTCATATAACAAAAATATTTTTAAAACTTTCACTGCAACTTAGTAGTTCAGTGTGAGATAGTCGAAATTCAAGTAACAATTTTATTAACAAAGTCAATAAAAAAGAACACAAATTAAAAAAAAAATAACCATTTTCTTTTTTTTACTTTTTAAATAGACTCAAAAGAGAAAATTAAATTAGTGCAGTTTTGGAAACGACTGTCGTAAATATTCAAGGAGAAAAAATGCTTTTCGTTTAAAAATTCACTATGTTTACCGTCTTTCCCCGGCTTTGGAAAACAAATAATTCTAGTGCTGTCAAAAGTTTACAAAAAGGCGTGACAGTTATATGAAACGAGTCAAAAACTAACTAGCCAAAGCGAACTTGGCTGGTGCGAAACCGGCACACTTACCTTAGAAAAGATGCTAGGCTTGTGTTATTTAATTGCAGTCCTGTGGAAGAGAGTTACGGTTTCTTGTACTCCACACACACGCACCTTGATTTTTGGACTACACCATGGCCAACCAACCCGAAAAAAATTAATCCACACTACAGATAATTTGCTTGTGTTGTATTTTATTTTTTTAAGTACGCCTTGCGATTTTTTGTGTTCCTGTTTTCTTTTTCTCAAGACACTAACAATCTTAAAAGACGTGTCTAAATGTAGTGACCACTTTGTCTGTCCAAAGCGAAGGTTGATTTTATAAGGGTTTTTGGTCCGTCAGTCGAGTTACTTGCCTGCGTGTTTGCTCAACGCACAGACATATTGGAAACTGAGGACCAGCTGTTCCAACAGCCGTTGCTAGTGGAAACCTCCCTCCGCGCGCACTGGCCGAGATGCCGTGTAGTTGTTTCAACGTTTCTCATCTGGAATAGAAGCTCAACGCTTAAACGTCCTCTTCTGCTAAAATCTAACATTTATTAATAAGCAAACAACTTTTAAAACATTTTGTTTGCTTTATTTATTTTATTTTTTTTTACAATTTGGTAGACACGTGTAATTAAAAATAAAAAAACCGTTTTCACTGCAATGAGCAAGTCACCGTTTCACGTTTACGAACACATACTGCCACAAATCTTCGAAGCGTAAAAAAAAAATAACGCTCCAACATAAATCAGCGATTTTTAGATTTTGCAAACGTACATAAAGACTAATCAACATGCAACTGAAGGCTTATATAGAGCATTTTTAAATACCCGGAAGGAAAGCATTTGTTGCTACGAAGCATGTTTTTCGGAATTACCTTTTTAGTCAGTGTTACATTGTTACACTCGAGAACTAGTAATGTTTCAGCTGTTGCACTCTCCAGTTTTAACAACCAAAGGTGAAAAAAACATTACTCCGATTATAATTAATTACTCGTTAAAAAAAATGAGTTATAAACGCACATTGACAACTTTTTTTGGTTTATCTTTATTTTATATAAAAAAAAAAACAAACTTCCGTGATTTTTTTTTTTTTTTTTTTTTTAAGTCGCAATCGTCCACCCACCCATTTTAAAAGAAAAGGAAAACTATATCATACATAAAAAAAAAAAAAAATCATGATGAATTATTAGTCGGTTCCTTCCTTAGTCTTTTTCCCAGAGTCCCAATAAATGGAAAACAATTCTGGGAATTTTGAATTATTATTGTCATAATTTTAAAAAGTGTGGGGGGGGTAAATTTTTGTTGCCGCTGCTTTTTCGTAAGTCTCTTTTCTTTTCTTTTTTTTTTTTTAAATATAATAATAAAAGTAATACGAAACTTTCTATATTCAAGTTTAATTTGTTACCGTTGTCAGGCTGCCAGTTAGGGTCTGTAAGGTTCTAAAAACTCACTACAAACAAAATCTGATACTAACTAACGGTTAAACCTAAACCATTTTTCTACAACCAGACAACTTTTGCTAAACTTATTCTGACATAAGGCCATAGTGAGGTAGCTAGAGATGTTCGAACTACACAAACGAATTTTAGCTCTTTTTGTCCTTAGACTTTGCTCTCAAAAATATCACGCTAGGCCACATAAAGGTTACTTTGAAAATCTGCATTCGTAATCCTATTTTTTTATTTGAGACAATGATCAAAGCAGGGATTTATTTTAATTGTTAAATTTTAAAACCCCACTTTTTTTTTTTACTTTATTCAAGTTCAAAAAATAGATATGAACTATCTCTTCTTTGACAAAAGTTTTAGTTTTCGTAATATTTGAAAGGTAAACACTAAACACTAAACAGTGAGTAAACTTAGACGAAATGCCAAAAGTTTGCGGTAGCCAATGATGATCAAACTCATTGTTGGTTTATGAGACTGACTTGTTAGTCATTATTCTACCAAGTTTCCGACAACAGCAATTGTTCCAGTTTAATTCCTACCCATTTGAAATTGTCATCTTTTTCTATACGTTATAAAACTTTAAAGTTGTAATTATTGAATGACTTCCAGAAAACAAATCTATTTTAAATGGCAATCAAATGAAAAATAAATCCTAATTTTAATGGATCATAAAAGTCTCGTTTAATGTCCAATGCGTCTCCAGGCAAAAGTTCAATTGGAAATTCCTCACTGTCACTTGGAAGCCGAGTACTTCTCGTTTAGGAATGACAACTTTACACGTCTTCTTAGGCAATCCACAAAAATACTCGTTATTTAAGCAAAAAGGGATATTTCCTAATTTAACAAATAAATTTCTGCTTTAATTTTGCCTTAAAATGACACCTCACCAAAAATCAACATTTAAAAAACAGCACAAATCCTTTTTAAAACACAACAAACATTCTTTCTTTTTTTTCCTTCTTAGATTTTAAGTGAGTTTGTGGACGACAAACATTTTTGTTTTTTTAGAGGCGGGGGTGATTTTTGTTAATCACATGGGACATTAAAATAAACAGTGGGGATGTGGGAGAGAAAATTCAAATCTCTTCTGAGTTGTTAATTTTCTGTCCTCAACCACATCATTCTTGTCTTCGGGCAAAACGCAACATAATACGAGATTGGTCTTGTGGATTATGACTCCAGGACTTCTTTTTTTAATTGCACAGAAAAAAAATAGGGTTGGTCAGAGTATTCTGACGCCAGCATAGGAAGAGTACTCGCGGGGACTGGCCAATTTTTGATCTTGTCCACACGTACGTGGGTCGGATCCAATGTTAAAAGCACAATGTGCCACACCCTACTTTCTTCATCGGTAAATCAAAATATCTGCGAAGTACACAGACAAATACTCGGATGAATATTCATTTATCAAGGTTTGTCTGTATGTGGGATTTTATAAGAAATTTTTCCTGAAAAGTAAACTCGAGAAAAATAGTTTTCTTTTTAGTTTTCTCGGATTGGTCAAATATTTCACATGGTGATGTTAATTTCTAACCAATAGACACTTTTATTTAAGCAGTGTGTGTTATATTATAGAATCTTTTTGGCATGTTTGTAAATCTGTTATTGCGTATAAAATAAAGTTTGTGCATGTTTTAATATGGTATTTTTATGTGGGTATGTAATTGTGTTAGAAATAGAGTTTATTTCCTATACTTTCGTACAAACCTGACCCATGTTAAGTTAACAATATAGATGGATTAACATTGTTAACTTAATGTTAGTTAACCCATCTATTGTTTATCAAAATGACAGAATTCACTATTAAAACATCGATATACTTACGGTATCTAATTTTGGTGTTCCTCCAGCTTTTAATGGGCAGGGATAATTTTATCTTTATATTCTTTGCTACATTTGAAAGGGATGGAATACACACAGTTCATGTTCTCTGTGTCAAACTTGATCCAGCAGAGACGTCTCAATAAAGTTGACATGCTTAGTGTCTTCATGTTGTACGGACTTCAAATTTTCCGTATCTTTTCTGATAAGTCCTTGACGGAAGGAAGACAGGCCGTTAACACTTTTCCGATCGCCTCTTCTGTTTCTACCTGCTGAAATTGGTGTTATGTTTGAAGGTTATTTCTTATTCTGATGAGTACGTCCGATACTGATCATTTCTTGTTGGCATGGGGCTGGGTCACCACATATGAGTTTTGCATGGTGCGCGATGGAGTAATTGATAGCGGCTCGGATTGAAGAATCGGAGAGCCGAGTTCGAATTCCATTCGAATCCATTACATTCACTTACATCCTAATACCCTTGGGAAAGGTATGAATCCTCTTCTCCCTTCCCCCAGCTATGGTTAAATAGCATGACAGACCGGGTTCTATAGCCCTGGGTTGGCAACTGGTCTACCGCAGAAAGAAATGGCAACCTACTGCTGGAAAAAGAATCTGCCTCGTCAGTCATGTACCGAAATATACATGATCGCCTAAGCGTTTATCACGCATAACTGACTGACTGTTTTAGGCATCGGACAGTTCTTTTATTTAAATTGTAGGGATGGTAGGAATTGAAGTTGGTTGATTGATTGACTGATCTGTTTTCTAGGGTTTATAAATCTTTTTCAGGTTATTTAAAGCTAGAAAATATTGTTTTGGAGATAATGATTTCGCGATACAAGTTTTACTAATTATCCTATAGCTGGGAGGAGAAGCGGTGTATTCCTACCTTTCCCAAGGTTATTTATGCGTAAGTGAATATAACGAACCCAATTAGAAACTGGAATTCGTCTCTCAATTCCAAGTCGTTCTCCATTACACCAGCCGCACATCCAAGCTTACAGCACCTGGTATTCCCAAACGGTCACCCATCTAGGTACTTACCAAGCTCAACGTGCTTAACTTCGGTGATTGTACGGGAATTAGTGTTTCAGTAACGGTAAGCTTTCACTTATGTGGAAGCTACACATCAAAATGACTATCATAACCAAGCTGATGCAAATTATTTGTCCATTTTTAGTATGTTGGTTATCTTCCGCATCATATACAATTGATTATTCCCATGTAATGCATTTATTTGGTCACCCCCAATTGATCTGCCAGAAACATTGTTCAGGAATGTTCACTTGTGACATGTATAACATTACCTTTTCATAAACTATAGATTTCTTGCGTTTGACTCACATTTTTACCTTTCTTAAAATGAAAAATTATATGTCGAAAATATTTATTTTCATCCATTTTCAACGTTAAAATCAATCAACAAATGGTAACATAAATTAAAAAATATAAACATTTTTAAATTAAAAATGTTTTACCAAAATTTTCTAAAAAAGAAACATTTCTATAATAATTTCATTCATTTGTGAATGTCCTGAAAATCATTAAAATCCCATAATTATTTGATTTTTGCAAGAATTTCCTAATCCATGTGTTTTTCATCGCAAAAAAAAAGACGCTTAATGTCGTAAACTAAAAACAGAAACTAATTTATGTTCCCTTGCTGACGCAAGAAAAACAATATTAACCAAAATATCGAACGGTCGAAAAAGGATTAAAAAAAAATATATATATAATTAATAATAAAAAATTCTTTGGTTTTTCCTCTTAATAAGAAAAATTTTGACGACAAAACTTTGTTTTTATTAAGTTTGGGGTATTTTTTCATGTATGCTCATCTTTTAGCGAATCTGTGAAGGTACCTATTTTTAGTATATGCTGAGCTGATGTGACAGCAGTCACAATACAGTAAAAAAAAAAAAAAGCCATCTTTTCGAATGAAGTTCGTTACTATTGCCATCTTGTGATAATAATTTTAGAGAGCCAAACCAAAATTTTAACAATAATCATCTTAAAATTCAAACAAATTTTTGTGTAAGTCGTCAACAATTAACTATTAAATTACGAAAGAATATGACTAAGTTTAGACTGGCATGAGGCCACAACTGTGGAGCGCTCAGTGAGAAATCATAGTATTTGAATAAAAATATTAACAATCTACCCATGGTTGCCCTTTTGTTATTGTTATTTTTTTACTTTTTCCCCTTTTAATATTCCTTCCTCCTACCTTTTAGTTTTCTTTCCTCCTTCCTCCTCCTTATAGTTTTCTTTCCTCTTCATAGTTACCTTTCTTCCTACCTCCTCACAGTTTTCTTATTTTGTCTTCAAAGCAAAACTATGTAGTTTACATTTTTTGTTAAAAAGAAAAAAATAGTCGTTGACCTTTTCATCTTCTAAATCGTCACGAACAAAAGGAAGACATTTTTCGTTTCCAAAAATAATTGCAATTAATTAATTACGCTAAGTTTAAAAGTTGATCACATCTGTTGCCTTTGTAAAAATCTAATTTAAAATAAAAATGATTTACAAAAAAAAACCTTTTTTTGTGTTTAAAACAAAAATTACACTGATTTGAGATGGATTGACTTGACTTATTTACAAGTAAATTATTTTTAAACTTCAGTGGCAATGTTTTTTTCTTTTTCTTCCTACTTCAATTTTTCCTGGGGAAGAAGAGTCAATGTGGGACATTTTTTAGGCCTGAAGAATAAAGAAACTTTGCGCGGGTAAATCCTCCCCAACCCTCAACATAGACACGCGCAGATAAACACAAGAAAAGATACAATTTCTTCAACTCATATTATAATATCCGTTTTATTGGCTTTCACATTTAGCAACAGTTAAAATATATATATTTTTTTTTATTGTTCATGTCTGAAATCGTAGAAGCTATCTGAAATGGAACGAAATAGTGATAGTGATAGTAAACGGCAAATAGCCTTGGGTCGAAGGAAATCGTTTAATAAAAGAAAAAAAAGAAGAAGAAAAAACAACAAATCTTCTATTTTTTCTTCTTCTTCTCTCACGGAAGGAGATTAATCGCTTGAATAAACAACAAACAAAACAAGAGAAAGTGATTCCTTTTTTGTAGATTTTTTTTTTTTTTTTGGAAGACAAAAAAACAAATTCTGTCTCGCTTTCTCCCTATTTTGTCCCGACCCCACCCCCAACTCATACAAACTTTTTTTAATGTTATTTTTCCTCTGCTTTAAGTATTTCCTAAATTACTTCAACAAAAATCAAACCGTTTTCATTTTTCAACTTGAATATCATTGTCCAAAAAAAGAGTCAAGAGTTTAGGTACCACCAAGAAAAAGGTGCGTTTTTTTTTTTTCAGAAATGAAAGCAAAAAATTGCAATTTGTAATTAATATTTTTTTTAAAAATGTCAAAAAATCAGTGAATTATCCGATTCAAACGAAATTTTCAGAACTTATTCAATGATTCATTGAGGAATGATTTATTTATAATAGTACTGAAAACGATATTTCATTTTTTTAAAAACATTGTGGAAATAGTAGCAGAAGGGGGGGCAGTTTCACCCCCCTCCCTTTTGATATTTCGTGCGTACTTTAAAATGTGAGGGTTATCCGTGAATTTTAAAGAAAGGTCTCTGAAGATGTTATTCAGCAAAAAATGAGAATGTTTTACAATATCAAATGCGAAGCTACGGAAAATCCGTCCCGAACCTTATCAATAAAAGTCAAAAAATAAATTTAATGAGAGTTAGTGGTTGCAAAATTATTTTATTTAGATTAGACAGAAAAAAATCTACATTCTATATTCATTTATAAAATTTACTTGTAATTTTTTTTAAGTGTGATTTTGGAATTTATTCTGTTGCTGTTACAACAGAATAATAGAGTTTCTTTATAATACAGGCGTGTTTGCAGAATTAAAAAATATCAAGTTTAAATCTTATTTTCCAGTGTCAAGCAAGCTTTTTGAAAAGAATTATCATTTTTTTATTTTTTTTTTATTTTAGCAACTGTTAGATTATTTTTTTGTATGGATGTTCAAAAAGAAATTCTGAATCACTGCCTTTGATTAAATACTCTTCCCTGTCAGAAGATTAATAATATAATGGTTTAATAAATCTTAAATTCAGAATAATTATAAAAAATAAACCTCATTGGATGTAATTAAATATTTTATGACATCAAACAGGTAAGAAAATAAAAAAAAAATAAAAAGAATGAATTAAACTCAAAAATATTATTTCCTTTGTCTTTAATATTAATTTTTATTTTTTTCATTTATTAAAACATTTATTTAGTTTCATAAAAGTGTATAGAATAAAAAATATATTCTTAAACTATTAGTTATATAAAGCTAAAGATAATGCTTGAAGTTCTCCACAGAGAATTGTCCCATTGGTCAATGGCCTAGTAGATTAGAGTGTTTTGGTGAAATAGTAATTGTGAGTTCAATCACTTGCATTCAGTGGAAACAGTGTGAGCAGTAAGTGAACAGTACTAAAAATAAAGTAAGATATCCTTAGAAATAGGCAGTGGAACAAAAACAATCTTACTCCCAGAGATTAAAAAAAGGGTTCAATTTGAAATTCTCTGCAGTTTACCCAACATGCACAATAGCCAAAATGTTGTGATAATAACAACAAAGATGAGGACAATAGTTTGAATATAAATAGTGTAAATAATGATAACTCCTCATCCCCGATTTTCAGGCAGAATGAAAATTTATTTCTAAACATAAATTCCAATTTCTTGATTATTTTTACTACTATTTCATGTGCTTCTTAAATCATTGAAAAAAGAAACTACTGTTGTTAACCTATGACATCACATGTGTAAATAAACACATTGTTTTAAGCAAAAAGTATTGTATTTACAAAATCCAGTTAATTCACCTTCAAATTGTGACTATAAAACACATCTCTAGGACAAATATTGAATTTTTAAGAAATTATTTAATTTGTTGCTTATATTTTTCATGTATAATGGCAGTTCGATGAGTAACAAATAAATATTTTGAAAATGTCTAAAAACTTTATTTATATACAGAAATTAATTTTTCTTTTTGTATGAATTAGCTTTAGGCTATAATCTTTCAAATACAACCAAAATTTAACCCCAAAGAAAACATCTCAATTATTTAAAATACATATTTTGATTTCTTTAGGAAGTCTGAGATAGTACCTAGTTTTAAGCTATAAAGGTTTTACAGATTTATTTTTTATTATCTGTCTATATTTCCCAAAGAGGTGTGAGTTCAATACCTGGTTAAGGTAGTGGAAAACTTGGAGAGTGGAATTAAGAGATAACTGACATCCATAAGACATGGCACGTGGAACTAGAACAGTCTACACCAGCGAGAGAAATAAAGGGTTCAGTTCAACATTCCAACCACCTGAAGAAGGCCGGAGTGTACAATGGCTGAAACGTTGTGATAAATATGGAAACAAAAATGAGGCCAATAGTGTAAATAGTTTATTTTTTTATATTTTTTTACTTTCTACAAATATATATCTATTCTTTTCTGCTTTTATTTCTCAGTTTGTTTTTCCCCTCATTGAAAGGATTTAGGGATGGGGAGATGAGGAGAAGGAATAATGTCAAATATCTTATCCTGAGTATTTTGAATGGCACAAATTAAAAAAACACAGTGTGAAATTTGAAAAAAATTTACATTTTATTAAATGACTTAAAAAATAATATTTAGTGTAAAATTTACTAAAGAAACTTGCACAAAATTTACCTTTTTGTGCCTAATACTTTGGCAAGATAACAGATTCTAAATATAATTCTACTGGGCACAATTAAAACAATTATTATCAACAAAATGTTCACTTGTTTCATTTAAATGTCAAAAGGAGTCAAGAAAGGAATTAACAAAAGTCACATCTAAAATTTTAAGATGGTCTAAATGAATGTGTTACCCCTAAATCATCTCAGAATGAAAACCATATAAGATCCAGTATAATTAATAATAAGTAGAATTTCAGACAGAATAAAAAGGAGAAAACATGGAGAAATTGTTTAATGGCAGAAAACTCTACAAAGAATCAAGGCATAAATTAACTGTAGAGAAAAGCATAATATGCAATGGAGATATTATAATACCCCAACAAAATTTGAAAAAAG